ATTATCACGTGATAGCCATACAACACATTTACGGTAAACGACTTTTTTTAATATTCGATTTCAAATATTAATTAATAATAACGGGCTCTGGTCGAAATTTCGTTAGACAAATTTCGTCATATTATAACACTTTTACTTTCTTTTATCTACCATGACACGTAAAAAACGTTCTTTCCAATCAATAAATAAACGGATACAAAAAGTCCAATGTTTCACTAACTGATTTACAGAAAAAAGAAATTTGTCAATTTAAAGTAAGAACTCCTCAACGTTCTCATAATCGAATTGCAGTACGATTGGCGACATACTTCGTGAAAAGATAAGTGGTTATCTGTGAGGCCAGTGGGTCCCCGAAAAAGATTTCGTTTGAGGCGGCATTGACTGCTCTTAAAACAATGACCGAATTTATTGAACAACAGTCAGATAATTAATTCATTGCACGAAAAGACGGGGTTAACTTACAGCGCTTACAACGTAATATTGAGTTAAGCAGAATGGACAATCTTAAGAAAGAAGGCTTTGTGACAAAGATTGAATAAAACCTGTTATTACATAATGGATTATCCTTATATGTATCACTTGCCTTTTATACCTTTATACCGGTCTTCCTCATACCGGTCAAAAATCCCCGTGGACAGAGCTGACCGGTATAAAGAGGCTTCAATAAAATATTATTTCGATATCATCACACAAATATGTTGATGAGCAGACAATGTGCCTAATTAAGTCACGGATATCACAGATATATATCACATAGTAATAGCATGCGTATTGCAGATCTCTGGAAAAACAGCTTCGAGCCTTTGTACGTATGCTTCATTCTTTCCCTCTCTCTCTCTTGTAAATGTCTTAACTATAAAGCCACGATGTTACCCGTCATCCTTTTCTTTCTATCTTGGCTTTTAAAGTTCTTTTTTTAATGATAACATAATCGATCTCTGTTGCGCCTTTGCATAACGCCTATCGGGCAATGCTAGTACACTTGCACTGTACACGTGTGATGACGTTTCTTCGTCACGCGATCGATGCCTTTTCCGTCCCCCGCTTCACGTACACTCAGCATTCACGTCGCATCTTGATATTAATGTTTTCATTCACTCAGAACACCAAGCAAGAAACTGACTCGGACGACTCCGTTTCAATGGATTTCTATGAAACGTCCAAGTCATCCAATTCGCGTCGCACGGTGACACCAAACACGTCTCAAAAACCGCGAAAGCGCAAAGAAGACAACGACAGTGAGAAAGCTCCTGTTTCTAAAGGCAAGAAAAAATTAAAAAAAGCCGACGATGGGGGCGAACATACTGCTGCTGATCAAGAAAAATCATCAGGAACGAAGAAGACAGGGTAAGTTCAAGTAATATATCATAATTTAATATACGTGATCCCATGGACAACTTCTGAATTATTAACTCGCTCAATATAGTGTCCATCATTACTTTCAATATCTACAGAAAAAGACCGGCCCCGTTGCTCCTGGATCCAAATCAATTCCTGTTGGAGCTGAGAATTGTTTAGCTGTAAGAAAGATTTTGTCAATGTTAGTGGCTTTAGATACATTACTTACGATCATGAACCTCTGCAGGGTCTTACTTTTGTTTTTACTGGAGAATTAGAGTCGCTATCGCGTGAAGAAGCACAAGATTTAGCAAAACGCTATGGAGCGTTAGTATGATGTGCTAATTTCTGCACGTGGTTTGAATATACATACTCTCTAAGCAGAGATCTCGATCGCTTACGTACAATAAATAATTTTATAGCAAAGTGACCATTAGCCCGAGCTCCAGGACATCCTATGTCGTAGTTGGTGCAGACGCGGGCCCAAAGAAGCTTGAAAAAATCGAACAGCTTAAGATCAAGACCTTAACAGAAGATGAATTTCTTGAATTTATCAGAACTAGTCCTACACGAGACAATATAACAACATCAAAACCCAGTAAATCAACAAAAAAGGCAAAGGTCGTTGAAAATGAGAAGATGCTCGTTGATGAACCTGTGATAGTTTCTTCGACAAGGTAACTTGGGTTTAATTTTTTTGTCTTTTAGTCGTCTCTAAGACAAAATATCACACCATATCTATTGCAGTAACTCACAAGGCCCAGTAGCACAGCTGTGGGTTGATAAATATAAACCTCAAAAGTTAACGGAACTTGTTGGGAATCAAACACAAGTCACAAGGCTTCAGAAATGGCTGGAACAATGGTATAACTTTTGTAATTCTGCATATGAATGTTTGAATTCGAATGGGGTACTGATTTTATCAACTAATTACAGGGAAACTAACCTTCGGAGTGATTTTAAACAAACTGATAAAAATAGTCTTGCATTTAGAGCAGCACTTCTATCCGGGGCGCCAGGTGTTGGAAAGGTAAGAAAAATGATACAATCATTGTATCTGACAATTGGATAAATTACAGCCATTTGATGTTTGTATTTGTTTATAGACTACGGCGGCACATCTGGTAGGGAAACTGCAAGGATATGATGTCATGGAATTTAATGCTAGTGATACTCGCAACAAAAAAGCAATTGAAGTATGTATGAGTGTTATACTGTTATGTAATGAATCACAAGCTTTCTGTGTTAAAATCTCTTGTCTTTACAAGAATGCCATAAAAATAGCCACTAGTAACCGTTCTATCGCTGGGTATTTGCAATCTGAGACATCCAATATAAAGGCGGATGAAAAAGGCAAACAAAAGGTAAGTATCATATACCACGTCTGCTATTATGTTGTAAATTTTACTCTGAACCAAGGCGGTTTTTAGGAAAAGACGGCACCTAGCAAGAGCAACAAGTTACTTATTATAATGGATGAAGTTGATGGCATGTCTGCTGGTGACCGTGGTGGCATTGCTGAACTGACTTCTCTCATAAAAAAAACACAAGTATGATAAACACTTACTCTGTGTGTGTGCATCTGTCACATTTTAGTGTTTATCGAGGCGTTCCAGCGTGATATTGAGTTTTATTTTTCACTTTTGTAAAAGGTTCCAATTATTTGTATCTGTAATGATCGCCAGTCACAGAAAGTTAAAACGCTGGCAACTATTTGCTTGGACTTGAAGTTCCAGAGGTATGTTTATCGTGATTTTCTGAGGTAGTTACCATACCGTTAATCATTAATATACTGTGTCCAATTCGAAGACCGCGGGTCGAGTCTGTGAGATCGAGAATATTGACAATCGCTTGCCGGTATGTATATTACTCGCGTCTGTGCTTTGCTAGAGTTTTTTTCCTTCAAACCCAAGTTAATTGTTGTTTTTCTAGAGAGAATGTTAAAATTCCACCAAATGTGATTGACCAGCTTACGTCAAGTGCACGGTCTGACATTCGTCAAGTCTTAAATATGTTGTCAACGTATTTTCTTTCCGCAAAGAATATTGATTATGATCAGGGGAAAGCTTTGTATGTAAACCTATCTGTTTCGTTTTTCCTTTTTGTTCTTCTCATTGAATGTTGAAACTAAAGATCTTTCGTAAAATTTTCTATGAAGATCAAAATCATCGGAGAAAAATTTTGTTATGAATCCATGGGATGTGACTGCTAAACTTTTTAGTAAGCTTACTTGGTCACAATCGAGCAATTTGACAATGTCGGATAAGCTTGAACTTTATTTTAATGATTATGACATAATTCCTCTTATGGTTCATGTAAGTTATTGGCAACTGCTATTGCAAATCTTCGATTTCTATGTATTGTATTAATTATGCTACCATATCAGGAAAACTATCTCAAACACAGTCCCGCGAGGGCTCAACGACTAGCACAAGAAGCCAAATCAAACACGGCAATGAAAGTATATGCGATGGATTTTTTTAGCAAAGCTGCAGATTCTATTTCTGATGGTGATTTGCTTGACAGGATGATTCGCGGGTAAAGATACTGTAAATGCTTACAAGGAATAAATGCATATCGACCTTATTTTTGAGTGATATTCAATTACATTTAGGCCACAGCAGCATTGGACACTGATGCCTGCTCACGCTGTATTATCATGCGTTCAACCTGCATCTTTCATCTACGGGGATTCAATTCACACTGGCGGTTATGGCGGGCCATATTCATTTCCCAGGTAATACAACATTGCAATACTTTAGGATTAGTGCTTCTGTCTTTTGAAATCACGGGCTAACGTGATCAATATGTGTACATGTGCTTGATGTAGCTGGCTTGGACAGAACTCAAAAGCGCAGAAACATCAACGTCAACTTAAGGAATTACATAGTCATATGCGTATGCGTGTATCAGGGGACAAGACTGAAGTGCGATTGAGCTATATTCCGACGCTGGCCCCTGGATTGTCACTTCCATTAGCTGGCGAGGTAACGGAAAGAAATCACCAGCATTGTTTACCAAGTCACTTGATAATTTAGTGATTTTTAATATCGAATAGGATGGTATTTCCAAAGTCATTGAGAAAATGGACGAATACTATTTGAATAGAGAGGATTGGGATTCGCTTATGGAACTAGGTATTGGCCCAAATTCGAGTAACAAGTTATTGAGTAGTGTCAACACGAAAGTCAAGACTGCGTTTACACGAAAGTAAGTTCTGCCATAAGAGTATATATGTACTTTATGTATACGTGCGCGTCGCTGTCTCTTAATGAACTTGCTTTGACATGTTACAGATATAATTCTACAACGCACCCAGTCCCCTTGCTTGGTGTCGCAACTGTAAGCAAAGCGCCAACATCTGCAGTAGTAGTGCCAGACATAGAAGAAGCTGTCGAGGCGGAAGAAATACCTGCTGAGGATGAGAGTGATGATGAAGGTGAAGGTGAACAAGATATTGGCAAAGACAAGTATATCAAGCAGAAAGGTTCAAATGTGTTCAAGGCGGCATCAGGGAAGGGAGCTAAGAGTACCAGAGGAAGAGGTGGCAGTAAGAGTACTGGAAGTGGTAGAAGGAGCACTGGAAGTAGTAGTAGCAAGGCTCGGAGCAAATGATTATTGAAGTAATATAATATGCATAAAATTTTAATATAAATAAATATTGAAGTAAATAGTCGTTTTATATACATTTGTTTCGCTATAACAATTATGAATGATTATCCGCAGCCAAATCCGTAAAACCACCGATCTATTACTGTGGTTACTGCACCCGTTACGGCTGGTCTGATCATACTTGTGACTCTTCGTTTGCAAACTCGTTTTTTGTAATCTGCAAGACATGTTCTGCGTCATTCCAATATATTATCTTAGACTTGATCTTTGTTGTTGCCGATAACCTGTCATTAAGGTACTCTTCCAGTCTGAAGCCTTTCCTTATCAGCACTGTATCGTTACTGGACATCTTTGTGGCCGGGCAAAAGTCGTTGACTGAATCACCAACATAGATAATTTTATCATATTTTACGGGACTCGATGCCAAATAGGTTTCTAATTCTCGTCCTATGTGAATTATAACTAAATGAGTCGACTTGATAACAGGACCCGATTGTCATATAATGGAAATGTACATGTCATGCATAGTACATTACTCGATTACCTTTGCATATGTTAACGGCACACTTATTCAAACAATGATGTGGTTCGTCGGTATGTTTGATGAGCCTCTGGACTCGTAATCTTCCGTTTTCATCCCAAGCAGCAGGATTAGTGATGATAGCTGATATTAGATGATGCACGCCGTGAGCCTTCAAGATGGTTTCAATGAATATTAAATTTGCATCGGATATGATAATGATATCGGCATCGCCATTCTTCATTACTTGAAGAGTTTCAATCATTGATGGACTCTAATACAACCAGAAGCAACGATTACTTTCATCACCATAGTCTTTGCATTGCTGGTTTGAACGCATCACTACTTACAAAGGGCACCTTTGCTAGAGACTCTAATATTTGCTCTTTATTGATTCCTTTTTCATGAAGCTCTCCCAGTAAAAGATCCCTATAAACAAGAATTAGAAATGCTTCTTTCTCCGATGCACTTTTCATCTGGTTGTTACTACTTACATCAAATCCGTCCATTGAACCTGTTTGTGTAGTTCAGTTAATTTGAGTCTCGACTCCTTACTTAGATCGTCAAAAATCCAAATATCAGAATTTACATCGATAAGGGACCTTGAATGATGTATAACAATAGGATTAAATGTGAGGGAATTGATTATTCGTCTTCTTCTATGCAGCCACATACCAGTCAAAGTCAAACACAGCGAGACGCTTGCAAGAGACCATTGCCGCAGTTCAATGTTGGAAACAGAGATGTAAATCTAAATATTGGTTACCGATTGGCAGGAAATTACTACACGCACATAATAAACATTAGCGCAATTTGAATTGTTCAACTTTCTAACAAATGCTTTTTTTAATATTACAGTTATTATTATGTGCACATTGCTTATTTATTGATTGCATCCTCTTTTCAGTATGGAGCAAACAATTCAGCCTCATCTTCAGTTTAAACTTGAAAAGACATCTAACATATCGCCTACAGAGTTATAATTAGTTCAGAATTATAATTAGTTCACTTATTAAAAGTTATAAATTTATTCTAAACATCATTGAAG